TCTTGGAGTTTCGCGATGAGGCTTTCATCATTCTTCTGGCTCTTTAATAGTTTTAATATCTCTGACCTGAGTTCGTTATTCTCTATTTCGATTTCCTTCTGGTCATCAATTTCATCTATTATTTCTTCGTCTTCAGTGGTGTATTCTTCGGATTCTCTCGAAATTGTGTTTGTGGATTCGTTGATTATTTCTTGTTCTGTTTCCATTTCTTTGCTGTAGGCCCTGGTGTTGGGCCTATCTTTCTTAGACATTTTTAAGTTTTTTATTGAGTCAATTAACCATCCTCTGCTACCAGCTTGTTGCAATATTTTCAGGATCAGACTCAATAATATTAGTAAGAGTTAAAGGTTTAAATATATTTCCTTTTATTTACAATAGGCATTCTATATTCACTGAATATTCACAGATAGAAGCCCGGAAAAGGGTGTAGGTGGCTCCTTATATATACAATGGGTGGAGCTATAAGTGGGAGTGGTGAATTATGAATACATTAAGAAGTGAAGAATAAGTTAACCCCTGATACCCCGTTCATATATTATTTACACATTAGAGAATAAGGCATTTACATCTGACAAAAAAGTTTCCAGGTTTTCCCCACCCAAAAGGAGGTTCAAGTCCCTGCCCAGCACCCATCTTTCAATCACATGATCCAATCAGGCACCACCCAAAACTGGAGATGCCACCCAGTCACCTCATTGCAGCTGCAGGGCAAGGTGGCCTTCACTCTCTGAGAAAAGAATGTTATTTTGACTATATATTTCCTGTACTCTATGCAATCCCCCCCTCTTTTCCCACAGTAGAAATTGTGGTGGGCCTGAAGGCCAAATGTAAAAGATGGCTTCCACGTATGACACTAAGGTGGAACCACACTCTATAGTTCTGGGTGATCTTCCCCACGAGTCTCTGGAGACAAGAGACTACATTGAAGGACAACACCCAATTTCCTGGATGTCAACTATCTTTCTTCAGCATTACTTTCTAGACATGTTCAGAAAGGAAGGACCACAACCACTTCAGGGGTACATCTATGATTTTTCACTATGCTTTTCTCCAGCTTCTCCTCTGCACATGGAGGCCCAGAAGTAGTTCAGGATTCCCAGAGGAGATGTTGCTTCATACGGTATTATTAAAATCCTGGTTTGTGAGATCTCTCCTGATATTTCTCCAGTGATCACCTTTGATGTAAACATCAGACTGAAGCAACTTGAAAGCGATTTTGCATCAGAAAAGGATAAACGTCTCAGGTCACACTCTGTGTGTCACAAATTTTGGGACATTCAGGGACTGTGCTTCTTGAATGTACCTTTCCTTTCTTCCTTTCCAGGTGAAGTTCTGTTTATCTCTCTCTCAGTCAAGAAAGTCACTCTCATTTCCATCTTTGAATGGGGGTGCTTTCAATTCTTTGAGCTCTTGTTCTTCCTTAGAAACAGGAAGGGGATTAATTCATCCCCATGAATTATGGACCTCCTCGTTCTGCCTCTGCTGCTGCTGATGTCCCAGCCAGTCTCTGGGAAGCTGAGAAAGAAGTGCCTGCTGAGTTTGGAGGAACATGAGGGAAGAAAACTACGGAGCTATTACAGGCCAGGAGACCACCTCATTGGTATAGTCACCATTGCCACAATAATATCCCAAATAATGCTGTCTTTCAACACAGCTCCTTATACTCAAGCTCCCTCGTAAGTCATTCAGTGTGATGAAATTCCCTTCATTCCATTTGCAGTCCTAACACTCTTCTTCATTTCTTTCAGTTACTCCTATATTGCAGGACCTGTTTAATTTCTTGAATCATTTGGATTTCCATGGATTCTCTCTCATGTCTTTTTTTAAGAAACCCAAATCCAAAGATGAAACAGCCCCGCCCTCCAAAGTTCAAATTATTCTCCCCTCTCATAAAATCCTGACTTAATCACAACTAGCTTATTGAAAAGTTTGTAGTTGCCTATGCCCAACCCATTCCCCTATTTTTATAACCATTCATTGATATTCAATTCCTGACCCTGGTATGGAATAGAGGATGGCTTGTTTTTAGAATTGCTTTTCTGGATCATTTATAAGTCCTCTTTGCTGATGATTCTATTTTAATGATTGAATGATTTTGAATCTTGGTCATTGCATAAATTAAAAATGAGCACTATTACAAATAATGATATATTTTAAATATTAAATCTCCATCCCACCTTCTCAACACTCATAACAATTAAATGGTGATGGGTGACTATAATTTTATTCTTATTTTGGACACTTTTGGCTTAAGACTGAATGGGTTTGTGGAGAAAAAGAGGAATAAATGAAAATATATTTTGTTGTTGTTGTTAGAGATGATGTTATCATGAACATTTTTTTACAGTCATTCAATTACTGATCCAGCAACAATCCTACGCTTCATTTTTGCCATTCAACAAGTCAACAAGAAATCTCAGCTTTTGTACAATCTCACACTTGGCTACAACATCCATGACAATTATTTGAGCACCCTTGGGACTTCAGATGCCTTGCTTGACATACTTTCTACTGGAGAAGCCAATATTCCCAACTACAGCTGTGGAAAGAAGGACAACCTGATGGCTGTTCTTGATGGATCTCCTGATGACATCTCCATTCAGATGTCAACATTAGTAGGCCCCTACAAAGTCCCACAGGTTTATTTGTTTGTTTGTTTGTTTGTGTTTGTTTCTCTATCTGTCAAAGTGAGCAGGTTGTTGGTGGGTGGGTAATAGATTCAATCATATCTTTTCTATGGAATTCATGAACTGCTTTTCTCATTGTCTTTGTCATGGGTAGGGACTGGGTTCCAGAGTGGGGAGGAGGTCTAAACAATTACTCAAGCAAGACTTGAGCAGCTGGACACAATGTTAAATATGGAACATTTAAGCAAATCTCTAAAATGAACTGATTGTATTCACAGTGATCTAGTGATAGAAGACATAGCATGTCTATTATCTGGATGTCAATTTTATTAGAAAAGAGAAAGAGCAGTATCTTAGACCTCAGATTAGACAAATGATTATATTCAATCTTGCTAATATTCTGCATTTTGTATTCTTTATCTTGATATGGCTTAAGGGTTAAGAACAATAGACTGTTCCAGTGGACACCAACCTTTCTGAACTCAGGGACCACCAAATTCATAATTTTAAATCCTGTGGACCACTAAGATGAATTTTTTAAAAAATGATATTTAGTGCAATATAAAAAGGCAAATAATTTTTCGGCAGACCACCAAAATTTTCTTGCAGACCACCAGTGGTCCATAGACCACCAGTTGGTGACTGCTGGACTATTCTAATATGTTTGTGAGAACCACACTGGATATGTTAAAAGCTTACATTTTGGACTTGATCAGATCTAAATGTAACACACCATTCTTCATTTCTTCTTCAGATCAGTTATGGAATTGTTTCAGATGCTTTGACTGACAAAAGTCAAATGCCTTTATTCCATCAGATGCTTCCCAAAAATGGGATCCAGTATCCAGGAATTGTCCAACTCCTCCTCCATTTCAGATGGACTTTGATTGGTCTCTTTGCACCAGACACAAAGGAGGGAGAGAATTTCATGAGAACTTTCACTCCTACGCTTGTCAGAAATGGAATCTGTGTAGTTATCTCACAACAATTCTCAATGAGTAGACCTACAGAACCCCTCAGAAATGCCATCTCTAAGTGGAGAAAAGTCAATGTCTTTGTTCACTCCATAGAATTTGCTTCCATTGTGGATAGAATTCACGACATTAATTTAGCAATTGAAGGTTTGCCAGGACCCATTGAATGGAAAGTCTGGATCACCACAAATGTGCAGAAATTGACAATTAAAAGGGATAAACGGTTTAAATATATCCATAGCATTTGGGACTTTCCTTTTCAAGAAAGAAAATGGTCAAATGACGATGCCTTTCAACCCAATCTTTTTAAGGATTCCAAATTTGAAGACCAGTCTTTTCGCTGTTATTTTTTAAAGCATGTCCTTTCTGTCAAGGGCCGGAGACGATGCACCCAGATAGCACCACTGGACATGCAAGAGAAAAAGAATAGAATTCAGATACAAAATTACCACCGTTTTTATACTGTTGCTAAAACTCTGGCTCATGTCTTGAATGTTGCATATTCCTCAATATCTAGGAGGACAAAAACAGAAAAGAAGGAGAGATTGGGGGCTGCAAGGCTAGAGCCATGGCAGGTATGGGCTCCTGACAAGGATCCATCAAACCTACTAATCCAATGCTGATGTAGGGGAACCATTGTTCTACAAAAACGTAACAGGTTTGGCCAAGCTGTGGCCAAATTTAGTTCACAGGATTATGTTCTAAAGAGCAGGCACTGTGACAATTATATTTTGATATTAAACACTGCTATTATAAAATTATTTAAAATGTATACATTGTAAATAGATTCCTGTACTTATGTGTTTGTAATTAGTATGATAGAATTTTATATTCATAAATTTCAGCTAAACCTGGGAGCATTTCGCTTAACCCCTCCTCACTGCAGGAATCCAATTAAAGCTTTCCAGAATGATAGCTACTCGGTCTTTGCATTTAGCTATGCCATTTATGTGAATGCTAACGCTAACGCTAACCCTAACTCACTGCTCACTGCCAGGAGTTCGATCCTGACCAGCCCAAGTTTGACTCAGCCTTCCCTCCTTCCAAGTTTGGTAAAATGGGAACCCAGATTGTTGGGGGCAATATACTGATTCCATAAACCACTTAGAGAGGTCTGTAATAGCACTGTGAAGTAGTTTATAAGTCCAAGTGCTGTTGGTATTCAGGCAAATAGTAAAGAGGGGACTGAACATCTCTTATTCACTAGTTCAGCTTTAAAATGGCTCCTCCTTTTAGGATGTTTCAAGTTGCTTTCAATATTCCTGGATGTTTCAATTCTAGTTCCATCCCTTTCTGGAGAAGAATGAGTTTTGCAATTTTTCCTTGGAGAAACTGTACTTGGACCAAACTGGAAATGTAGCAGCAGATCTGGATATCATAAGTTGGTTATTTTTCCCCGAGGAGGATCCCATCCAAGAGCAACTGGGGAGTTTTGAAAGACAGAGGCTTATTATCGACCAAGATGCTCTTTCACGGCTAAAGTTGCTCAACAAGGTGGTTGAAAATATTGGCAATTTTTCTCTGTCTGTATGTTTGGTGTTAGGGTCCCATGAAAGAGCAGGCTCAGATATTTTTTAATAGCTCATATCTGACCACAGTTATTCATGCTTTTGTTTCACCCCTCTGGGATAGACCTCCTGCTGCTAGGAAGGTCATCCAAGGTGTTCAATCAAAATGGAACCACTATGACTTGTCCGATATGAGATAATGCCTTAAACTAGAAAAATGAAGGACTGAAAATTACCTTGACTGTTACCCCCCCAAGTCTTTCTTGACACTTGTAATAATGAAGGTAAATTTGTAATAAAATGCTACTTAGATTTGATCTTTGGCTTGTAAGCCATCTAAAAACCCATTTAATGGAATTTATTTATCTTGATTGTCAGCTACCTTAAGTCTTCCACTGAAACAAAGATTTCTCCAAATTTAAGGAATAAATAAATGTGGATCTGTCTTTCCATGTCATCTAATTGTAGTTCTAATTTTGGGAGGCAGTGGAGGACAGGGGGTCCTGGAGTGTTATGGTTCTTGGGGGATGAAAGAGTTGGAAACAAGTAGCGACTTACAACAAAACTGTAATTCTTCAATGGAAACAACCTTGTCTTGAATCCCTCAGTTGCAGAGGTTGGTTGCTATCAGTTTGTACCGGTTTGTGAGAACTGTTAGTGGAAATTTGGTGTGGTTCCCCGAACAGGTAGTGACGTCTGTCTGGCCACACCCCCGAACCGGTCCCTGCTTGCTCACCCCACCCACCTGATGCTCGCTCGCCCTGCCTGCCCACCCGCTCTGCCCAACCACTACTTGCAGAATCTAGCAGCATACTTCTGCTCACCGCTGTTGGCAAAGGTAAGGCCGAAGGGCATTGGCCAGTGGGTGAGCAGGGGAGGGAGAGCTGGTGGAGGGGAGACATCGACAGTGGGTGGTGGACCAATGCACGTGGGGAGGGAGGAGAGCATGTGGGAGATCATGGCACCAGAGTTCTTCCTGTGTGTTTCCAACAGCCCAGTCTGGCCTGTGAGGGAAGCACGTGGGAGATCCTAGCTGAAGTTTACTTGTGAGCAATATTGGCCGGGAGAGGAAGGGAGAAAGGCCAATGATGCTCACAAATAAATTGAGGCTCATAAGGGGGGGGTTTGAGCCTTCCCACCCACAACATGTTCACCTAAGGGCATTGCTGGCAGCCACTTCCTGCACCTCCCGTCCTGTGCTCTTCCCGCTGCTGCTCGGCCTCCTCGATGCACAGAGGCAGGAGGCGGCAGTTTCTTTCACTGCCTGCGAGCTGCTGGCTGTGAGCAGCAGATTGAGTAAACCAGCGATCTGCCGACTGCCTCTATTCTGCAGTTTACTTGTGAGCAAGTTTACTCATGAACATGGTGCTCTCAAGTAAACTGCAGATTACAGGAAGCCGGCAGATCCCTTGCTCTGCTGCTCACCTGGCAGAGCGCAGACTGGCAGCTCTGGGTTGTCTCTCAGGCATTGTGTGCAGGGAAAATCCTTGCAAATTAAAGAAAATTTTCTCTTGAGTGTGAGAAGTTAATTGCCTTGCAGTCACAAGAAGTTTTTCTTTACTGTGGCAAAGTGTTTCCCTGCACGCAACGGCTGAGAGATGACCTGGAGCTGTCACTCTCTTGTAAAATCCACGTCTCGCAGTAGGGCGCTATTTGGGGTGGCAGGTGGGGTGGGGGATGGGGGGAGCTCTGCAAGTTTTGCAGCTGCATGGCTACAAAGGATGCCCGGCCGGCTCCCATCTCTCTGCCGGCCAGTGCCTCCTGAAGCCGCCAGTGTTGCATGCAGCTGTTGTGCTGGGACTGATAGGAGCAGCAGCAGCCCTCTCCTGTCTTTCTCCAGCTGGGTGGGAAAAAATGGAGGAGGACTTCACAAGCAAAAGATAATTCTCTCTATCGGCACCAGAGCCAAAGCTAAAAGAAACTGGAGGGGAGAAAAAGAGGGAGGGTAGAAACAGGGGAAGAGCAATTTTTTCATTGTTTTAATTCCATAGCAACTTCTACTTAGTTGTTGGTTCTATAACAACCAACTACCGTCAAGGTTCAGTGCAAGTATTCCAAACTAACGAGTCTTAATGTCTGGTTAAAATGGGTAGTACTTGCATTTAAAGAAGAAAAGCATAGCTCAGACAATTGCTTTGATTTTTTGCTCCTATATTCTGTTGTTTATGTATAAATTTTGTTAATGTAGAAATTTTATTTACAGCCTATTAAACAATGGAGCTAGCTGTCTGCCTGCAATCATGTGTATCTATTAGGAGTAAATCCCACTGAAAGGGAGTAGCCTTACTGCCAATTAAACATGCAAAGGCTTTACGTAGTTCAGAGATAGGGTATTGATTAGTATCAGGTGTATTATAGAGAGAAATTAGAACTTCTGTAACAACAGATACTTTGTGCCCAGACCAGGTGTGTTTGTGTGTGTGTGTGTGTGTGTGTGTGTGTGTGTGTGTGTGTGTGTGAGAGAGAGAGAGAGAGAGAGAGAGAGAGAGAGAGAGAGAGAGAGAGAGAGAGGGAGAGAGAAGAAAGAAAAAAAAGAAAGAAAGAGAAAGAAAGAAAGAAAAAGAAAGAAAGAGAAATTGTGTGTGTGAGAGAGAGAAGAGAGACAAAGAAAGACAGAGAGGAAGGGAGAAAGAGACAAGAAAGAAAAAAGAAAGAAAGAAAGAGGGAGGGAGATAGTGAAATGTGACAGAGAAAGAAAAAGAAAAAGAAAGAAAGAGGAAGGGGGAGAGAGAGAGACAAGAAAGAAAAAGAGACAAAGAAAGAAAAAAGAAAGATGAAGAAAGAAAGAGGAAGGAAGGAAGGGGGAGAGATACAAGAAAGAAAGAGGAAGAGGAAGAAAAAGAAAGGAAGGGAGAGTGTATGTTTGTGTGTATGAGAGAGACGGATTGTAGGGGCAATAAGGTGACTTTGTATAAAAAAGAACACCGCTTTGGAGGGGGGGGCAAAGGCCCTACTAAGAAGGTATGTACAAAAGTATGAAGGCTATTGCTTAACGCATTATAAGCCTCCCTGAGTTTCCGGAGAAGGGTGGCATATAAATCGAACTAATAAATAAATGAATGAATGAATGAATGAATGAATGAATGAATGAATGAAAGAAAGAAAGAAAGAAAGAAAGAAAGAAAGAAGGGAGAGAGAGAGAAAACGCTGTGCTTTTATTTTTAATTGTTCCATTATTTATCATGTGTTAATATTTTACACCGTCCCTACACCTAGAGTAATTTTATTGCCTTTATTTTGCCCAGGACTACCACATATTTTTCAGGGATTTACATGCATTCAATGTCTATAGTCCAGAGCATGAATATGTGTGTGTTTATTTTGTACATCAGGTTGCATAAGTCCATCTTAATATGCTATTCCTGGTATGTGATGCTTTGTATACATACAGAGAAAGAAGCACTCTTGTGATCTTTGACTTTTAGGCTTGTTGTCAAACATCAGCCATAATACTAATGACTGTTTTGAACAATATGCGCAAATGGCTATTTTATATGTGAAATTATGACTGAAATATTTCTGCATCTATATTGGTTCTCACTGTCAGAAAATTTCTCCTTAGTTTCAGGTTGCTTCTCTCTTTGTTCAGTTTCCATCCATTGCTTCTTGTTTTGCCTTCTGGGGCTTTGGAAAATACATTGCCCCCCCTTCTTTCCAGCAGCCCCTTAAAAGCCTGTTGCCTCTCACACTCTTGGGCAAAGCATGGGAGGCATTTCCTGCTTTCAGTGGCCCATGAAAGTACATCTATAGTATGTAGATAATAAAGTTGAAAAAAGGTGAACAACATTTTTACAGAACTATAGATAAGTTGAGGCTGGGTGTGATAAGGAATGGCTGGGAGGGGAGGGGCCAGACGAGGCACCGCTTGACGTGAGTGACATTGAGTTGGCCACACCCACCCAGTCACATGACCATCAAACCACACCCAATGTCACATGACCAGCAAGCCATGCCCACAGAATAAGCCACACCCACAGAACCGGTAGTAAAAAATTTTACAACCCATCCCTGCTCACTTGGCCTTAGAAATATCTCTTTCCCACACAGGGTTCATACTCATGTCCCATGTGCTGCACAAAAACATGCCTGGCTCACCCTTTTTAAGTGACATGTTCTCATGATTTCATCCCCACTCATCCTCACTATAGTTCTAGAAATTAGGCAGTAATGTTTAGTCTTATTTCACCACCATGGCAGCTGTATGAATTGAAAATATAAGTGTACAGATATAACTCAATAATAACTCATTTGAGGTTGATGGCCCTAGTTGGTGAAGATTTTTTTCTTCATATCTTAACTGGAACAAAGATTTGGGTGATTTTCAAAGGGGAGAGGCTTTGCAATATTTTACTTAGTCCAGGAGAAACCTTTTCTTGATCTACTGCTCAGAGTTTCTTTCTTAAGTACAGTTTCATTTTATTTTAGTAAATCAATCTAATAAATAAACATTTGGCAGATATTTTAGAATGAATGTTGTTTTTCTGCTTAGTCTCTGCCTCAGTCCAAATGTGTGGACAATTGTCACCCTGGATTTGTAAAACGGGCTCGGAAAGAAGAACCCATTTGCTGCTACGATTGTATTCCTTGTCCGGAGGGGACCATCTCCACACAGGAAGGTGAGTAACACCAGAGGAACTCTGGCTTTCCTGTCTCTCGGTATCAGCTGCCATTGAAAGAAGGTCTTTCTTGGAATGTGAAAGGAGAGACTATAACAATAATATTACTTATTGTTTTCTCAGATACTGAAAAATGCACCAAGTGCCCAGATGACAAATATCCCACTGATGACAGAATCCAATGTATCCCCAAAAGAATAACCTTCCTGTCCTATGAAGAACTTCTGGGCATCATCCTGGTCTCCTTTGCTGTACTCTTGTTTTTAACAACAGGCCTTGTTTTAGTCATATTCCTTAAATACCTAGAAACTCCCATTGTCAAAGCTAACAACCGTGACCTGTCCTACATCCTCCTGGTTTCCCTCTTGCTTTGCTTCTTGTCCTCCTTTTTCTTCATTGGCCAACCAAGGAAAGCCACCTGCCTTCTCCGACAAACAATGTTCAGCATCATCTTCTCAGTAGCTGTGTCTTGTGTGTTAGCCAAAACAATCATGGTAGTGCTGGCTTTCCTGGCCACGAAACCAGGGAACAGGGTGAGGAGATGGTTGGGGAAGAGCTTGGCCAACTCCATCATCCTTTCCGGTTCTGCTGGAAAAATTGTCATTTGTGCGATCTGGCTGGGAGTTTCTCCCCCGTTTCCTGATTTTGACCTGCACTCCCAATCAGGAGTGATCATCCTTCAGTGCAATGAAGGCTCTGTGACCATGTTTTATGTGGTTCTCTGCTACATGGGTTTCCTTGCTGCCATTTGCTTCACAGTGGCTTTCCTGGCCAGGAACTTGCCTGGGGCCTTCAATGAAGCCAAACTGATCACCTTCAGCATGCTGGTCTTCTGCAGCGTCTGGATCTCCTTCCTGCCCACCTACTTGAGCACCAAAGGGAAATCCATGGTGGCCGTGCAGGTTTTCTCCATCTTGGCTTCTGGGGCTGGCCTGCTGGGCTGCATCTTCTTCCCCAAGTGCTACATTATCATCCTGAGACCAGATCTAAATACTAAGGAACATTTAATGATCAAAGTCGGTATCTGATCATGAAGTATTTTCTTAGGGTCATAACACTTAATTATTTGTATCAGTTATTATTGAGTTTGTATGGTTGTTGGGACAATTAAGGTTATTTAAAATCAAAAGAAATAAACATACAGAGAATGTGAGACTAACTAAAGATAATCATCAAATGTAAAATAAATACATTAATAATTTAAATTGTGATGAAATTAGTGAAGGACAAGATAAGAAATGAGATTTTAATATCGGCTGACCGACTGAATAAATAAACAGAGAAATGTTTGAAACAAGTTTACCAGTCATTGGGTAGGATCCTCCTCAGTACATTTAAAAAGAAAGAACACCACATCTTTCCAAATTGTAAAATCTTTATTTTTTGTAATCTTTTGTAATAGACAGCAAACATATGATTTTAGTGTCGTTTTTGGAAAACTTTTCCCAGCTGAAACTGGGGAAAGTCTAAAACTCTTTTGGCCAGGTGTTCAGAGCCATTAATGAACCCAGTTCCTGACAGGCCAGGAATGAACTCATCCTCCCTTGAGCTGACTTCTGAGGAGGAATCTGGGAAGTTGTCCAAGGGGGACATCATACTGCCTGCAGTTTGTTTAGTAAACAAAGACACGTCAAAGTATAAAGGTTTTTGGTGTCTTATATTAGTACTGAGGGGCAAGTATAAAGAAAAAAAAGTCTATCCCCATAACGTATTCCATATTTACCCAATGATACAGTTGGCCAATTATCTATTTCCAGATCCTTTGTCTCAAATGTTCCCCCAAAGTTGATATTTCTAGAGCAAATAAAATTTCTTTTTTCTTTCTTTCTTTTTAAAAAGTTTTTGATGAACAATACAAAATTAAAGAAAAAAAACATTGGACATAGATATGACATCACTGGTTCCAAACATCTTCTGTCGCTTTACAATAATATTAGTACTCAATATTAGTACTCATATAAACATATAGTTCTTAAACATACATTTATCTATAATAACATCTATATTTTTGTTCTAACACTATATACATTTGTCTTGGCTTGTTACAATTGAAAATACCTAACTTGTTTTCTGTAAATATGTATATCTGTATATATGTTATTGTGTGATGTCATCATGCTCCTTGCCATTGGTCCCTACTTACCTTTTGCCCCGCCTCCTCTGTATATAAGTCGTTGCTCCTGTCAGAACCGCAGCTGTCCAAATGTAATCCTGAGGAAGACAAGAAATAAATACCTTTGTTATAAGGAAGACTTCAGTCTTTTATATTGGGCCTGACCAGAATAATTAAACAAGTAACAAATTGGTAGCAAGAGGATGGTTTGGTAGGCCCAACCAAACATAAAAATGCAAGAATCACAAAAAGACAAAAGAAGACCTGCCACTAGATATATAACAAGAAGAATGGCAGCCCAGCTGACTCCTGACAAAAACACACTAACTGAAGACATGAAGAAACACATACAATTACACGAAAATGAACTACTAACACAACACAAACAACCACTAGCTGGAACAGAAGAAACCCCCTCAGCCTCAAACAAAGAAGATGAAGTAAAAAGAAAATACTAGAATTAATAGAAACAACTACAGATGAATCAAATCTGCTTGTGAAACTCCGCAGCATAATAAACAATCATGGAACAGCAGCAGATAACAAAATCAAACATAATAAACAAGAAAAATCCAAGGTAAGAAAGTCAACCCCTGACTACAAAACTAACGCTGAAGATGGCGATAGTTTCGCGCCTTTTTCATGGTGGCCATCTTGTCTACCTAATACTCTCAAAATGGCCAACCAATCATTAAAGAAATCCCAAATTTTAAATTACAAAGCGGGAAACAAAACCTACCAAGAAGATGCCTACCCGAGTCCAGAAATAAATAAAAAACAACTATTTAACCAATATAACACTCAACCTACTGAACTTGAAATAGATAATGCCATGCAGGTGTTAACTGCAGCATTCGGGACTAAACTAAAAATACCAAAGACACAATCAGAAAATGCAAAAGAAATTTCTAAACTAACACCTATCAAAAGTCAAAAAGAACTAGACTATCTAAAAGAAGAAATAGTCGCCCGAGAAAAGACGCACTGGCAACCATAATTACCTACCGCAGAACACCTTGCTGAGCGACCTGATTTCACCGCTGATGGTGGTCCGCATCGAGCTCCGCTTCCAGGCCGCATTGAGGAACATGGCCGCCAAGCCTCCGGTGGATTTTTCTCCGATCGCCGCGATTCCGGAGACTTCCCGATGAGCTGGACAGCATCCCGGGCATTCTTCAGCCACCAGAGGCCCTCCGGAAACAAAGCCGAAGAACAGAAGGCCGACTGGGACTTCATCCCGGGAGCCGCAAGCACAGGATCCTCTCTCGTCGACTGCTGGGGAAGAATGAGGACTGAGCATGCGCAGAACGAACCTGCAAAGAAAAAAGAAGAAGACATAAATACAAGTCAGCACAGATCTAGCCAAAACATAGAGATAAGTAAATACAGACATGCCTCTACCATACCTATGCCTTATTGCGAGTATGCTAAGGTCTTAAACCATGGACAGCTCCTGAATATAAATAATTTCTCACAACACTCTGGGACACTACTTACAGACTTTATAAAATTAAAATTAGATGGAAGCAACTTAATGGAATGGAGCCAGTATTTACAAATTATATATTTGAGGGAAAACATTTTATTCTTTATTGATGATCCACCAGACAAACCTTGGACTTATGAAATAGACTGCCTCCATCATAAGGCTTATTATATATTAATTGCTTCTATTTCCCCAAGTATTTTTCCTAGTCTTGAACATAATCTAACCGTATCTGAAACATACCAAAAATTATTTAATTTGTTTTATAGCAAAATTGTAGCCACAACTACTAGAATTTCAAGAGAATTCTATTCTGCCAGACTAAAACATGATACATCTATGAGCGAACATATCCTAAATCTGAATGCAACCAGAGCAGAGCTCATCCAAAGGGGGGGAAATATATCTGATAGCACTATGAAAAGCATTATAATCAATTCATTAGACACCAGCTGGGATAACTACATCACTTTACTTGATAGCTTAAGTTTAGAACATCTTACCTTAGAAAACCTTACCAATAAACTTATAGCTGAAGACAAACTTAGAAGGGAACGATCTGTACATCAAAGGGAAGGTAGAAATCAAAAAAGGACAGATTTCAGAGTCAGAGACAGGTACCCACATGAATGCTCAATATGTGGATCTGAAAGACATCAAAAAAGAGACTGCCCCAAGAACGCAGGATATAGAGATACATATTATCACAAAGATAGAAGAATACATTTCTTAGATAGAACTTCTCCTGACTACAGATATAAATGCAGGGAATCACCACATTCAAAAGAAAAGAAAATATACAGAGACAACCCTAGGGAAAACAAAAATGGATCACTATATGGAATAAAAGACAGTAATACATCAACGTCAGATTCACTCAACACATGGCTCATTGACTCTGGAGCCACAAGCCACACAACTCACAATAGAAAAATCCTCAACAACTTCACAGAAAGGGAATATTACATAAAAGTAGCAAACCAAAATGAAGTCCTAGTAAGAGGAGTAGGTGACACGCATATAAAAGGTATAGGAAAAATAGAGGGGGTGCTATTTATACCCGAAATTCCGAATAATATATTGGCAACTCTAAAACTAAGCATAGAAAATGGGGTAGAGACCACGTTCAAAAGTGGAAAAGTATTCATGACTAAAAATAACAGGAACATAGGCAAACTATTCACTAATGAAGGACTAACATATCTACTACCACAAAATAACGAATTAATCTGTGCACACTATCAATTAAAAAACAAAGAGGCAGAGTCAGATAGTCATGAAGGGGGTAATAATATACCAACTGTTGAAACCACGATATCAGAAAATTTACACAATGGTAAACCTATACACGACAACTGTACCCATTTACTCCACAGAAAGCTAGGACATGCAAGTTTCCCTGTTATACGGAAAATGATAGAATGTTCCGAAGACTTAAAAATAAAAAATTGTAAAAATTATTTGGAATGCTCTGTATGCAATTCATCCAAGCTCAAAAACAAACCTATGCCCAAAAAAGCCACTCGCACCACACATTCAATTTTTCAGTTAGTTCATATGGATGTTGTAGGCCCAATGAAACCTTCAATCAAATATAGAAAAAGATACTTTCTAACTATAGT